GATAAAAGGTATTCAAAAAGTAGGCACTGAATGAATCAGCAAATGAGGTAGTTCAAAATATTATTTAAATAGAACATAGTACAGATTTGGGGTATATAGAACTCAGCAGACATTTATTGAATAAATGAATGAGTGAACATAATGGATTAATGCCAATGACTATCTTACTCATTACTATGTTTTCAGAACAAAGTACAATGCCTAGACATCCAGAAAGCTTGCAGAAAGAACATCATGTTTAGTTTAGTATTAAGTTACAACATAACTAGGTAAATCACGGAGACCCTGTGGCAAATTTAGTCAATAATATTATCATTTCTTCAAAATATTTTTGGGGGGGTGCTTCAATAAACTGCAGCAATATTAAAAAATTCCCTTACTAAGAAAATCAGGAGGTTGAACTTTTCAGTCTGGCTTTTCTCTAAATTCTGGGAGATCAACATTAAGCTACTTCACCTCTGTGAGTATTAATTTTGCTAAATGTGAGATTAAGAAGGGAAGACACAGTGTAATGGTGACAAGCATGGGCTTTGGGGACAGGCAGCTGTGTGTGTTAAGTCTTGGCTCCGTGTTTTACTAGGTGTGACATTCAGTAAATCCCTTATCCTGATAGGCATTATCCTATCCTGATGCGTTATCCTAAGTCACAGGTTGTTTTAGGATTACAGGAGATAATAGACATTGACCACTTGACATACTGGTGGCTCTTAGCATGGGTCCCCTGTGTTATTGCTGTTACTATGATCACCTACAGACCTGAGTGTCTTACTGACTGCTTTTAGTCTGAACCTGGAGAACCAACCATCAAAAACGTCATTGCATGTTTTCTGTCCTGTTTAGAACACCACAAACTTTCAGTCATTTTTGGGTTGTCTCTGGCTCTGAACACTGATATTACCTTGAGTTACTCTAAATTTTAAGGCTACAAGCGTTACACCTGTGATAGACTCACCCCATAGTGGAATACAGTCATTGTGGAGAGGATGATGGAAAAATTGGTACCAGATTCTAAATTCCTGAAGTAACCGATCTGGTTTGTAAAATTAAATCTAGGCATTCCCATATTAAAAAGATAAAAGAGCAAAAAAAG